TACAAAAAGTACCCTGCCAAATTGGCTAGTGATTTGACAGCGTTACCCGCCACAGCTGATTTTTACCCGTAATTTCAAACCTTGTATATATATATATATATATATATATATATTACAGTTTTAATTATTTTTTTCAAAATCCTACAAATTTCTGTGTATTTAACAGTGCCCATTTTTGCTGTATTGTTCAGGCTTTTGGACTCCACTGTGTGCCATATTTTTATAAAAAAATAAATATATATAAAGACAACAGTGAATGATACTGATGCACCATACGGGACCATTGCCATGTGTCTTATTTCCACATGCATCATTTATATGCATGGTATTCCAAATTCTTGCCAGCTAACTAGCGACCCCCAAATTCTGCTGGCCACTGCCCAGTCCCTTTGTTAACGGTATCCGTTATCATTCAGCATGTGTTCAAAACCCCAAAGGCCTACTTTATACATACCCAGTCAAAATCGCATGAATTGCCATCCTCACGCTGCGTCGAAAGATGTTCACAGATCCCAGGTGTTTTGCGGACAAGCAGGAACGCGACAGACATAAATAACGAGGCTATGTAGTATGGTTTTAGTAGCCATTTATAAACCTGCGGCAAATGATACAGAAACGCGAAGAGAGGTGTTAATAAGGCCATTCTTATTTATTTATTTTTTTAGAGAATGAGTGCTGCGGTGATCCGAGACTGCAGAGTCTGCGTCAACGCGAGACAATATTCGTCGGCAAATGAATTAAACGATTTAAAGAGACAGAGGTCACTGCGGACGAAGGAAAAATTCGCCCCGCCTCTTTGAAACACGCCCGTTGATTGGTCACTTTCCTGAAACGACGTCGCTTATTGGTCAAGATGTCACATAAAGGGAAGGACAAGAGGAAGTATGTCGCCTTTTTTCTTTACCGTAATAAATAAACTTCCGTCGACGATTTTAACATGCGTCAGTGACACAAACACATTATTTGTCTCATCTTATATAATTATTTATGCAAATAAAGTATAGTATTATATAATATAATGCATTTTTACGACGCATTATGTGAGTCTGTTTAAATTTAGGAACTGTGCACAATACGATCACGTACTTGATAAATTACGGTAAGTTTCTCCAAACAACCGGAAGCAATTGTCAACAGCTCGTCAGGGACGTTGTGCAGTAGTAAAGTCAAGACAAACGTCCACACAATAATAACATGGTAGTGATGTTTTGCTTTTGACTAGTACTAGTACTAAACTGCCAAAACTAGTACTAAACCAAAACTAAACTTACTTCAAAGAATACCACGGTACTATGTCCAAATAACCATGGTACTTTTCCATGGTAACCACAAAACCATACCATGGCATGCAAAATATGTCATGTAAGACATTTACTACGATTACCCTGGCAACAATAGACAACAGCATCACTGTTATTCAAAATAAATAAATTAATTACATTATTTAAAAATAATAATAATTTTGATGTGGTTTTGTTTTTATTAACAATAATCGTTGTATTTTGTGCTATGGTTCTTAACCTGGGAGCCAGGGCCTCAGATGGCCTCACAAAAAAAAATACAAGTGTTTTAAAAGTGTGATATCTGGGAGTGGAAAATTCACTTAATTTAATAAATATTAATACAAGTCTAACAATTATTTGGCCATTTTTATATTGAATGTGCATTACACATCGTTCCTCTAGCTATATATTGGTTAAAAAGAGTGGGATCCATGAAGAATTTTTTTTATTTAATTTTAATTATTGTTTGGTACTTGTAATCTATGATAATCTGTTGTAATCAACTTTTGAAAACAAAACATTGTCATTACAGCAGATGTACCAGAGGAAACTGATTAGCCTTGGAGTCAAAAAGATTGAGAAACTTTAGTTACCATGGTAAATTTTGGTAGTGGGTTATTTTAGAGTTAATAAAGCTGTTTTGGTCACCTTCATGAACCTGTCAACCCTCTCATGTCTTCTTCACAGTGGAGAATGAGCTGACAGGACACACGAATCTCATCACACACTACAACCTGGAGCATGCTTATAACAAGTTCTGCGGGAAGAAGGTGAAGGAGAAACTCAGCAACTTCCTGAGCTTACTGGTGTGTATGTGTACTTTTACCTTTCACTGCCGATTCTACAGCAGTTCTACAATCTTAAAGGCGTAGTACACCTAAAAATGAAAATCCTGTCATTATTTACTCACCCTCCACTTGTTTCTTTGTTCTTTTGAACACGAAAGAAGATATTTTGAAGAATGTCGGTAACCAAACAGTTGACGGTAGCCATTGACTTCCATAGTATGGAAAATTATATTATGGAAGTCAATGGCTACTGTCAACAGTTTGGTTACCAACATTCTTTATTTTCATTTTTGGGTGAACTATCCCTTTAAGACTTAAAATTGCACAGTATGCACTTTACCTACAAGGGTTACTCCAATACCTGTATTGAAACTACACCGTGTTTTGATCCTTCTGTTCTCCAGGTATGAGGACAGCCCAGGCATTCAGGACAACAGCTCTATGCGATCTCTCAACTCGTTCAGTCCTCTCACTGGGGATATGCTCACCTGCTTCAGGCTACACACTGGCCCCGTAAGTGTGTGTGTGTATGAGAGAGACAAAAGGAGGATCCCCTTTGCATTTAGGGAGGCAAGTGTAACTGATGCTGCCTCTGCTTTGACTGTACTCTGAGGTTTGTCGATGTCTTTGTTAGACAGCGTTGATAGTGAATGGTTATGTGGGTCAGACGTTTGTTGTTGTTTTGCATGCATGATCTCTGCCCTGACAAAGTTACCAGAGCAGTATAGACTGATGCATATTCAACCACCGAAGAAGAAGAACAAGCACAAGCATAAACATCATCGTCCTCAGGATCCCTTACCCCCAGGTGATAGACAAACACAAAGAAATGAACATGTGCTTTCTTAAAGCTTAACTGTCAATCTCACATCTTTACCACAGAAACTCCGTCCGATTCAGACCATAAGAAGAAGAAGAAAAATAAGGACGATGACCCGGACAGAAAGAAAAAGAAGAAAGATAAGAAGAAGGAGAAGGTTAATTGGAGTTATTATGGTCTTTATATGACAGTACAGATTACACATGGCCTTAATTTATAAGAATTCTTCTACACTACTGTTTAAAAGTTTGGGGTCAGTAAGATTTTTAATGTTTCTGTGTTTCTTATGCTCACCAAGGCTGCATTTTTTTGATCAAAATAGAGTAAAAACAGTAATATTGTGAAATATTATTACAATTTAAAGTAAATGCTTTCTATTTTAAAATGTGGTTTATACCTGTGATGGCAAAGCTGAATTTTCAGCATCATTAATTCAGTCTTCAGTGTCACATGATTCTTCAGAAATCAATTTAATAAGTAACATTTCATATTAGTATCAGTGTTGAAAACAGTTGTGCTGCTTAATAGTTTTATGGAAACCATGTTTTTTTCAGGATTTTCTGATGAATAGAGTTCAAGAGCCACGTTTTTCAGAAATACAAATTTCACATTTATACATGTATTTATTGTCACTTTTGATGCGTTTAATGCATCCTTGCTGAATGAAAGTATTAATTTCTTTTAAAATCATACTGACTGTAAAGCTTTTCACAGTAGAGTATTTTTTTTATTTGTTTTATACATTATCATACATTAATGCATTAGTAATAAATAGTACACCTGATATCTCTGATAAATACAATAAAATGTATACAGTATTGTTATTTCTCCATCTGCAGAATCGCCATAGCCCTGATCACCCAGGCATGACTGGGGCTCAGCCCAGCAGCAGCTTGAGATAAGAACTGCCTCAGTGGCAGAAAAACAAGAGGAACGAAGAAAGAAGAGAAGCACAAGCTGGACAATTGGGCCTTTTCTGGGACATCACAGATTTAATGTTACAGTGAGTCAGATGTGTGTATATATGTGTGAGAGTATATCATTATGTAATGTACCAGAACACCTGGTAAACATCACATCTGTTGTATTTGTAAGTGTCTAAGTGCCTCTGTGTCTATTTATGAGTATGATGAATGATGGAGTATTTTTCATTCAACTTTTTTTAGAATCTTTTTTTACAAATAAATAATCAGCTAAGAAATGGGCAGATTTGTGAGAAAATCTTTGAATATATTTGATTTTTTTTTTCTTTCAGGCATATTTAAAGACATGAGCACAGTACAAGCACCATTATGTTGAAAAATCAGTAGAGTCATTGAAACTGATAACATGATTACAGTTCTGTAACATACAGAACAGCACTTTTGAAACAAAGAATATAGTGCAAAACTGGCCTCTGCAATACCATTTGTAATATAAAGCTGCATTTCCATCAACTTTTGTGAGAGAGGGATGACAAAAAAAAAAAAAATCTACCAACGTTTCAAAATTAAAATGATCCATGTCAAGGTAAAGTGAGCATTTCATGAAGCCCTGCCTCATTTACCTGAGTCTTGAAGGGAGATTGGGTTTACCCGTACAGAAAAACGTTACATTCTCTACATTCCGTAAATGGTTTAAAAAGTTTTGACTATGCATACTAATATGAATTTGAATGTGTCTGTGTCCTGCACATACAAAATGAAGATCATAACATGGTAGAATAAGAGTTCACAGTTAATTGTGAGCTACTCTCCCGAAACCGCCGCCATAGAGGCTTTTTGATCGAGACATGGAGACTAAAGGTCAGGTTCCCCTTAGTATCTCAGCAAGTCAGATCAAGATTTGATAAAAGATTATGAACACAAAATGATTGTCTGGTATAATGTGCACTGATAAATTGTGCACAATAACACTTGATTTTCCTAAGAAAGTAAATAAAGCAAATTTTGATTTCATACTGTTTTTAACATAAGTGACGAGGCAGGAGGTGCTTCACGGGAGGAAGTTTAGATGTGTTCGATCATATTTAACTACCATTGTAATGGATATTTCAAATTGTCAATGCAATAACAATGAAGAAAACTGCAAACTATATATTATAGGTCATGGCATAATGTTTTTCTGATCGATAATAAAAGCCTTGAAAATACATCCTGCCCAGTCACACAGTCAAAGCCTTGACTGATGCTTTAAATTGCACATTTGCTTGCTTTTTAACACTGTTTTATATTTGTCAAGTCTTTACAGTGACTGAACATGAAGCCCAGTTTCTGAAGTGCCATGATACCATAACTCAAAAATCAGGTTTATAATTCACATTCATCTCAATACTAAATGTTTTCCACATTCCCGTTCGTTTGATATTTTGCAGAATCATTTGTTTGGTTTAGGCTGTTGCTCTCTTGCGCTGACTGGCTCACTGACAGACTATCACGTGCTGTATTCTCCTTTGTAATTTGTTTCCGGTGGTAGAAGAGGTATCCTGGCAGCATGTATCCAACCAATGAGAACACAAGCAGGCCCAAGTTGATCTGTTGATTAAAAAAGTGGCATTTTTGGTACATTGACCAAAATGATTCTGTGAAACTGCACTATTTAAATACAAATACGCATTTGCTTTGTGCATGAATAGTGTATTACACTCAAAAATGTCTGTCTCACCCAGTAAGGATCACCCTTCAATGGTCCCACCATCCACATGAAGAGTGGTTGTTGTAGGAGGGCAAACACAGCACTGATCATGGACTGCAAGCCCGTCAGAGTGCCAAAGTGATTAGTTGGGTAGCTAAATATACAAATAAACAGCAAATATTACACACAGCCAACTTTCTGAGCCATTTGTAGCAGTTATTTAAACTTTACAAAAATATAAAAATAAATAGAATTCACAACATTAACCAAAAACATAACAGTATATCAATGATTCTAAAATAACACTAATTCAGATCAGAAGTAAAACTCACACAGCAGCGTAGAGCCCACCACAGCAGGAATGAATAAAACCTCGAACTGCAGTGTGAAGAACAAAAGACACCACCTGAAACAGAAAGGAAAAAAAAAAAGAGAAATGCATATAATAATATACTTATAATAATAGGTGCAGTTATATATGTATGCAATACATTTAATTACGATTATGTATGAGTGCAAAGTTCCATATAATTATATAAATTATAATTATGTATGACTGCAAAGTTATATATAAATGACATTAAATTAGATTCATGTCTGAGTACAAAGTTATATATAAATATAGGCTACACATTTTAATTTATACATGAAAAAAATTAAAAAATACAAACTTTAAATGACTAAAATAATTTGTAATGAAATAACATTCTGCAGTATTTCTGAATAAATAACCACATTTGTGACCTTATGTCTAACCTGTATGGGTAGATTGTCTATAAGGGAGATGATGCCGAAGATGACTAGCAGAGTGTTAGTAAGGATGAAAGCTCTGATGGCGTTGGTGAGTTTCTGGATCTTCCCGTCTCTCTTTGGAGGCCCAGGAGGACTGAAGAAAACAACAAAAGGGAAAAGGTAACCATGTAACTGACATATCAAAGTAATTCAACATTTCACTCCTTCTCTTTCACCACCTTCACCTTTTTTCTCCCTCTGCTGAAGTCACCACGGCCTCACACTCCTTCATTCTCCAGTCCATGATGTAGCCAATCAGAGGACAGGAGACCAGGCAGAGCAGCTGAAGAGTGCCAAAGATGGACGAGTAGATACTCACTATAACACACACACACTTTGTATTCCGTTCACTATACCATCACTTTCCAGAATAATGTAGCCATTTAATCCTGATATTGTACTGGCTGATACATTGTATTAGACATCAACATATTAAACAAAATAATCCTCGGTTTGACATTTTGTTATCTAATGCAATGTCACTGATACTGTACATTGAAAGGTTAGTTCACCCAAAAATAAAAATGTTGTCATCATTCACTCGCCCTAGTTCACATTGTTCTGCTGAACACAAAAGAAGATATTTTGAAGAATGTTGGTTAACCAAAAAGTTGATGGCAGCCATTAACTTCCATATTATTTTTTCCATACTATGTAAGTCAATTGCTACCGTCAACTGTTTGGTGACCAACATTCTCCAAAATGGAGAAAAATGGTTTGTGTTCAAGTTCAACAGAAGAAAGAAACTCGTTCAGAATTGGAACAACTTGAGGGTGAGCAAAAACTGACAGAATTTTTGGGTGATCTATCCCTTTAAGTGTGTTATAAGTGTCCAAATACTTTAAGGCCACTGGTTGTTACAAAGCCAAAATACGTGTATATTGGTTTGGTGAAAATAATAGGACTCTCTTACCTTTCTCATCTGCCTCCTTCACTAACTCCTCTGAGGCTAAAACAGACGCAAACAGGTGGTGAAAATAATGCAATATAAAGCCAATTTAAAGTACTATCTTTACTACCCACTTACAAACACCCGCCACAAACACATGCTTCTGCAAAACTACAGCAAACGCCTGTAAGCTTGTGCTGATTACATTTACCCATCTGTTCTTGAGCAAAGTTACGAAAACACATTTAAAAGAGCAAATCTTTTCCTTTCACATTTTTCAATTTCATTAAAAACAAAATAATGTTTGAAAAGTTTAGTTGATGCTCACGTTGAGAGTCACCATGGGTAACCAGAAACTCCAACATCTTATTCATGGCACCCATGAAAAAAATGACACGGAGCTGGGTCATCGCCATGGTGATGATGCTCCACAGGAAAATAGGTGAGCACACAGAACGGTAAAAGGGAGGGGATCCTGCTGTCCCAAAAACATTGATAACAGAAAGATTATTTTATTATCAGAGTCACAATCCTTGTAGACTGTGTGTTTGTGAGACTTGCCCTGGCTCTGTGCAACTGTTCCATCACTGGTTGCTTCATCAGTGGAAGGTTGTTTTTTGGTCCCCTCTTGCTCTTTATGAGTGTCCTGAGTGAATGAACTTTCTTCAGTCATCTTATGGTCCACTGCTTCACCTCTCACCTTCACCATTGTACTATGAAATAAAGAGAAACAGAAATTCATGTACAGTTTTACAATAATAGACAATTATTTGTGTAATACTGTATATTTGTATTGTTATGTTCTTCTGATACTGCTGTTCAAAAGTCTGGGCTTAGTAAGATTTTTAGTTATTTAAAAAAAGTCTCTTACACTCACCAAGACTGCATTTATTTGAATAAAAATGCAGTAAAACAGTAATATTGTGGAAATATTATGAGAATTTAACTGTTTTCTTTACGCCAGTCTTCAGTGTCACATGATCCTACAGAAATCATTCTAATATGCTGATTTGCAGCTCAAGAAACATTTCATATTGTTATCAATGTGGAAAACAGTTGTGCTGCATAATCTTTTTGTGAAAACGTTTTTGTGATACTTTTTTCAGGATATTTTCATGGATTGAAAGTTCAAAATATAAATCTTTTGTAATATTATAAAAGTCTTTACCGTCAAATATTATACACACATATATATATATATATATATATATTTATAGTTTTGAAATTAAATGTAAAAAATAATAAGCACATTAGATGTTTAGGTGTCGTAATATTTTTGGGCATATAGTGCATTTAGCGTGTACTCACTTGTATCTGATGTCCTCAGGACCAGGAAAAGATTCTCCTGGCCAATTAATAATGCAGTTGAGGAAGACGAGGCAGGCAAACCCTGCCCAAACCCAGAATATAACAGAAAATGAGACACCCACATCGTAGATCAGCTAGAGGACAAGACAGACAGAGGACATTTATGTTCATATGCTGCACTGCAAGACAAACGCATTTGTCTAAATACTTTGCATCTTTGTTGCTTACAGTGTTTGTTGTTGTATGTATTTAAAAAATCTCTACCTTGACTCCCGGAAAAGTGACAGCCGAGGAGGCGTATGAGCCAATCATAAGTGAAAGA